TTCAAATACATATCTAAGGGTTCATTTTCCTAACATCACATTATCTGACCTTTTCCGCTTGACTCATACATATACTAGATATTGCAAATAAGGGAAACCATGGGACCTATGTTTCTTTGGGCCTGGCTTACTTCACTTAATATAATTTTTTCCAAGTTTTTCCATTTCCTAACAAATGGGGCAATGTCATTCTTTCTGATGGAGGCATAGAATTCCATTGTGTATATATACCACATTTTCTTGATCCATTCATCTACTGAGGGGCATTTGGGTTGGTTCCATATCTTAGCCACGGATTGGGAGAAGATCTTCACTAGCCATACAACAGACAAGGGTCTCATATCTAAAATATACTTGGAACTCAAAAAATCAAATCCCCCAACAACAAATCCTCAAAGAAACAACTGCCCAATAAATAAGTGGGCTAAAGACTTAAAGAGAAACTTCTCTGAAGAAGAAAGCAGGATGGCCAATAGACACATGAAGAAATGCTCAACATCCCTAACCATAAAAGAAATGCAAATCAAAACAACATTGAGATACCACCTCACTCCAGTTAGAATGGCAAAAATCAAGAACTCTAACAATAACAGATGCTGGAGGGGATGTGGACAGAAGGGAACCTTACTGCATTGTTGGTGGGAGTGTAAACTTGTTCAACCACTTTGGAAAGCAGTATGGAAGTTCCTGAAAAGACTTCACATAGAGCTCCCCTATGACCCAGCAATCCCACTTTTGGGCATTTACCCAAATGTTTACAAACAAGACCACACTAAAGCTACCAGCACAACTATGTTTATTGCAGCATTATTTACCATAGCTAAGATATGAGCACATTTCTTATCAAGCATTGTAGCCTCCTGCTTTGTTTCGCCTTCCCATCCCTTCGTATCCTTCCCCCCCCCCCCCCCGCACCCCCCCCCCTGCCGTCCTCCCCCACCAAATTTGTAAAGTTCGTTTTTCTACATAACGACTTGTACATCTCATTGTTGCAATGGGTCCTCCGGTATCCTTGTTTTTACAATTTGTTTTTTTCCCTTCCCCTCCACATATACCAACATCATATATAGTGAAAGCAGGGGTTGTACCATGGGGGAGGGACATACAAGGCAACAAAGACATAATCTTGTAAATATATCACAGTTGTTTTGACCTGAGGCTTCGTGGGAAAGACTTGGCACAAACATTTAGTACTTAACATTGTAATATAAAACAGAGAAGAGCAAGTGACTCATGGTGTAAGTTTTAAGGGGAGCTTAATCTCTACGTGCCAAGATGTCGTTTCTCCTATGCATTCAAAGAATAAATGAATAATATTAGCAAATAAAATTTGTATTGCAAGGTTAATAGGTTATTTTTATGGACAGGTAGAAATATGCCTTATAAAACCTACCCCAACTTCAAAAACCACAGTCATTTCTCTTTTATTTAACTAGGAGTAATACCAAATGTGAAAATTTATCAAAGGTTGATATTTAGCCTCTATGGAATTGTACTCAAAATATTCTTTTCCCAAGAGTAGATTATACCTTCCTTTCCTTGCTCCTGAAATATCTTGAGAACCACAAGCTGTCTTGCATGAGTTATCTAAATTTGAAACGTAGAAACTGTCAATTGAAGAGAATTGATTAAAATAGACTTTCTGGATTATTCTAGACTCTGGATTTGCCTAGAGGTAAGGAATAATTAACAGTGTGCTTCTCTTTTAAGAATTAGGTTAAATTATTAGCAAGGATGGATAACTTATTATCATTCATTGGGAGCAGAATATAAGGATAAATTTTAATTGAAAGATGAGTATAGGTGGGGAGGAAAGGGATGGTAGGGGCAAAACAAGGGAAGGGGTAACAATGCTCCATAGGAAATGGGCTCATTACCTTGCTCATGTAACTGTAACCCCTCTGTACAGTATCTTTACAATAAAAAAATAAAATAAAAAAAGAAAGATGAGTATAGATGTGTAAGTTTGTGTGTGTGTGTCCACATGATTATGAATTCAAAATGCAAAGGGGCTAGTTTTGCTTATCATAACATGTCAACAATGGCCATTCCTCCTTTCTGTCTCAGGGCTGTGCTTGCATGTTCTCAGTAATTTAAACTGACCAGTGCTTACTTAAGGACATACATTTAGTCAATAGCATTTCTACCATTAGTGGCCTAGCCCATCAGAGTTATAGAGAAGCATGCAATACACATGATTTGAAATTACAGACTTCTGACTAAAAATAATAATTTCTACCATTATTACAATTTATTTCCACTTTCAGGAGAGACCAGTTTTCTACTTGGTGATATTTTAATGAAAAAGAATAGGAAATTTATTATTTGTAAGAAAGGAGATTCTTTAAATCGTTAATTAAATTTAGTTCTTTCTGCTAATCTGTGAAGGTCTTTCATTTATATATAACAAAGTTTTAATTTAAGTTAGAATTTCATACCACATCCTAAATTGTTTTAGTTTTCCTATATGCAAACTCAGCTCTCCCTCACCCTTCATATTATTAAGGTGTATTAATTATTCCTTTTGGGAAATATTGAATAGCAATAGTTTTACCTATAGAGAAAGAACAGAAGTAGCCAATGTATTAAATTCTCAAGTTTTAATGTGCAACCCTATACATAGCTTCTCTATATTGAACTTATACAAGCCCCACCAATGAATTTTCTGGAAGTTTTAAAGAATGTTAAAATATATATTTCTTCTAACAATATCAATAATGTATAAAATTACTATGTCTACTTCTCTAGATATACCTTCCTTAAAACTCTTCCAGGGAATTTTCTATAAAGACATAATATTTATATATCCCTTTCAGAAATTTGCAAAAATAAATTATTAGATAACAAAGCAATCTTTGTTTTAAGGTTATCATTTTCCTTTTATTTTCTCAAGCAACAACAATTATCAAAAAGTTTTAAGAGGAACCGGGCACTGGTGGCTCACGCCTGTAATCCTAGCTACTCAGGAGGCTGAGATCTGAGGATCACAGTTCAAAGCCAGCCCGGGCAGGAGAGACCGTGAGACTCCTATCTCCAATAAACCACCAGAAAACCGGAAGTGGCGCTATAGCTCAAGTGGTAGAGTGCTCGCCTTGAGCTGAAGAGCTGAGGGACAGGGCCCAGGCCCAGAGTTCAGGCCCCAAGACCAGACCCAAAAAGAAAAAGTTTTAAGATGTTTAAGCAAAGTATGAGAAGGTTCAGGTTAGAGTTTTAATAGGCCAAATGCCATCTGTTTCTACAATTTGTAACATTTTATTATTAACAAATCCAGAAGAAGGAGGCGGTCTATTTTAGTGGTGAGGACAGATTTCTGTCCATCTGTGCCCATATTGCCGCATGTCACTTGTACTTTAGCTCTGCATAGCTCAGAGCCAACGAAGATGCCGTGGCAAGGTCAAGAGGTGGAGAAGCCTGTCAGCACATTCTGTTTCTAATTCTATGACAACTGCAAACAGGCACCTCCTGTCCCACCCTGAGGCTGTCATTCTGCCAGGCCTTGGAGCTGGGTCTCCCATAATACCATCTCAATAGAAAATGTTAACTTTAAACATTGAGAAATACCAACGGACTTAATCCACCATGTGAGTCTGCTTAATGTCAGGGTCCTTATGAAGTGGCTTACTCTCAATCTTTGAATATATGAATTGTTTTCTGGTGGTTTTCCTTACTTTTCTTTCCCTTAGCATATCTGTTTGTGTGGAGGGGACAAGAATGCATGCAGAACTCTTATTTTAGTGAAAATCATGTAAACAAGAGTGCAGTGGGTTAAGATTGAGTTTAGATACTTTGAGATGTGGTAGGTTGATTGTTAACCACTTGTTCTTCTTTTTAAAAAATCTTAATATTAGGTAAGCCAAGCTCATATGTTTCTGTCATATGCAGAAGCTGAATCTAAAATACAATGGTACATGATAAATTATATAAGACTCTAGGCATTCACACACAGTGAGACCAAAGGAGGATATTCTTAGAGGAAGAATACAAAGGCACAAGGCCTATGTGCCTCTGTTCATAAAAAATAATTATCTAATGAACTGTAGGAAATGTAAATTAGATTTTTTCTTCTTTGTTGCTTTTGTTTTCTTTTTTGTTTTGTTTGCTTATCTTTGAGTAGCCAAGGAGGAGACACAGAAATGGAGGGACAAAGGGGTGAACACATGCAGCAGTGGTGCTCACTAGATACAATGATGAAAATGAACTATACAACTTGTGGGTGGGGACAGGAGGGGAAAACTGGGAGAGAGTGAGGGAAGGGGTGACACTGTCCAAAAGTAGATATATTTATAACCTGACTTATGTAACTGTGACCCCTCTGAGCATCACCTTTGTAATAACAAAAAAATTGAAGTTTTAATATTGATTAGCAGATCAAGAAAATGTAAAGTACACACACACACTCACACAAAAACATATATAAACAGTCAGACAGTAGAATTTTAGTCATGGATCAAAAATTACATTATTTACAGGAAAATGGACCTAGAAAAAAATACATTAACTAAAGTAAGTCAAACTCAGAGTGAAAAACAGCACTTTTTTTTTATTATGTGAAAGTTAAATCTAAAATACAAAATACATGAGAACATATATGGAGGGTTATGTGCCTATAAATGCAAACAAATTGACGGAAGAATTGTGTTCTCAGCAGAGGAGTCCAGTGGTATCACACCTCTGAACAACTAATGAACCATTTAATCAATTAACAAAATGTATGAGGAGGATAGAAAGAGAGGGCACGTGGAGGAAGGAGGTCTGAGAATCCACAGTCATTATGTTCATTGTTTATTATGTGAACTTTGAACTAGAGGGTAGGGATGGGAAAGGGAAAGATGGAAGAGGAGAGAAGATCTTGTCTCAAGATCCAGTTTATTGTACTCATAAGCAGACTTGTGGAATTGAAACTCCTTTGTACAACTTCTTAACTAACGATGGTAATGTTAATAGTAATAATGTCTTAATATCTCAAATTTCTAAGTGCAGACTGTTTCTTCTCCCCAAAGTGCTTATCAGATTGTCGTGGAAGAATTGCACCCACATCGAACCAAGAGAGAAGCCGGGGCCATGGAATGCTATCAGATTCCTATCACCTACCAAAACGCCATGAGCGGGGGTGCACCTTATTACTTCGCTGCAGAACTACCCCCCGGGAATCTACCCGAGCCTGCCCCATTCACGGTGGGTGACAACCGCACCTATCAAGGCTTTTGGAACCCCCCTCTGGCCCCACGCAAAGGATACAACATCTACTTCCAGGCAATGAGCAGCGTGGAGAAGGTGAGCTTCCTCTCAGATTTGCCTGATCTCATTGCTCTGAGGAAAAGCCAGTCAGTAGCATTTATCAAGAATTTATTTTTTTTTTTAAAGAAAAGAAAAGAGAATCAATGTGTGGTGGGTGGTGTTGTTGCTGTTGCTTGTGACAGTAAGCACAGTTTGGGACTGAAAGAAGGCCAGGCAACATGCCAGTTACATTTCACAGATCCCTGTTTCCTAGTAACTACTGCTACTTGAGTCTGCTTCAGGAAAGCCTACAATGGCAACTGTGAGTAAAATGATTTGGAAAAAAGTGGGTGTACTGTAGCCCAGACTCCACCCTGAGTAATTTTCCCTGCATTGTTCTGTCTGACTTGCTCCATAGTGGCACACTTCAGAAGATTAAATTTACTGCAGGATAAACAGAGTGTGTGTTCCACAGTGGGTTAATAAACCCTTATAAACTTTTAGGGGGTACAAGCCAAATAGCACATAACAGGTAACAATCCTCTGATTACAAACTAACAGGATGCCTGAGCTATAGCTGACAGAACCTACACAGAAGGCTGCCTGGTGATGGCTGATGCTGTGCTGTTACACAAGTTGGCTTTCCAATTCCCCCAACGCCCCTCCTTTTTCCAGGCTGCCCCTCCTTTTCCCATTTTGGACACAGTTGTTTTTGAACATTGCTGCTTGAACCCAAATGAATATTGAAGAGAAAAACACAACAGGACATTAGAAACTACACCAGTGGTTCCCATATGTAGAGAAACAACCTGACCTCATGCTGTTTCTTTTTGAAAGATTTCTTTCCTAAAACTTTTATTTATGCCTTTATTTATTTATTTTGTATTTTGACAGAGAGGTATAAAGAAAAAAAATCTTTGAAAATAGAAACTTGCACAATTTAGAATCCAGATGAGTGCTGACATTTTGAAAAACTTATAACTATGTAAAAAAGTGCTGCATTTGTATAATTGAGTCTCCTAAAGTGAGCACTGGAGAGATAACATAAAGCATAAAACTGGGTTCCAGTGGCTCACACCTGTAATCTTAGATGCTCGTGAGAGGCTGACATCTGAAGGTCAGCATTTGAAACCAGCCCAGACAGGAAAGACCTTGAGATTCTCATCAATTAAACACCAAAAAAAAAAAAAAAAAAAAAAAAAAAACCAGCAAAAAAACAAGTGGAGTTATGGCTCTAGTGGAAGAGTGCTATCCTTCTAAACAAAAGTTAGGAGACAGCTCCTGAGCCCTGAGTTCAATTTCCAGAATCACAACAAAAGAAAGAGAGAGAAAGGGAAAGGAAGGGAATAAGAGGGAAAGGAAGGAAGAGGGAAAGGAAAACTGTGATACCCAATTTCATCAGTCTTATTATATCTTGGAATAGCATAATTGGAAGACATAGCTCATTTTTGTTTCTGCAGAGGCTTTAAGAAGTTGGGTACTGATTAGCTGTTTTTACATGAAAGCTGTATCTTTCTGCTTGCCAATGGGGTTGGCTTGCAGTATACACTAAAAAAAAACAACAAAAATCCTGCCAAAGCATGTCCTAAGATATCCTATAAAGCCAGAGGCTGTTCATCGTTGATGCTCTGCCTTCTTTGATGGCAGTGGGAATCTTTGGAGGCCACACCTACCTATCTATCCTTCCAAAGCATTGGTGGTACAACTAGGCTTCTCAAGCAAGAGATTGCTATGAACGTTATTCATCTATCCTGAGCACAAATACCATAAAGGTAGAAAACACAGTTCAATGTTTGGATTTTCATCCTTGGATAAGTGAGCTTCCAAACTAACTGTTGTTGCCTGGTCTGAGTATTAATGAATGGCTGTTTCTTACAGTGTATTCTCTCTCATTTTCTTTAACAGTTTAGATGTAACTTCCCTCCATCATTAAATCAAATCAGAGAATTAGTAATATATCTCACAATATTCTTAATGAAGAGTTTTTCATTTGTTATCCCTCCCACCCCAGCAGAGGCTGGTAATGCCTACAGAGCATCAACAGAGATGGCTTTTAGGAAATCAGAATTTCTTTGGGCCTCTATGAGAGTGTGAAATATTCTCTTTCTTTTCCTTCTTTTTTGTATTCCTTTCTTAGTACTTTGTTTTACTTAATTTCAAAATAAATGCTTAAGAAGAAATTATAAATTCTCTTGTTTTATCAACATATCTAACTATTCAAGGTGCAGTTATAAATGAATCTTGAAAACAAACATCCTGTTTCAGAAATAAAACCTACTCCATGTAAGTGAGAGTTGACTGTGAAGGGGGGAGGGATCAACAGATTAAAGGAAGCCATGATCAGGTCCTGATCCAGGGATAGACAAAATGCAACTTATCAGAGACTTAGAAAGCTATCCCCACTGGGAGGCACATCTTTACAAAATAGGAGAATGCCCACATTCGGTGGCAGAAGGAAGGGATTTGCACGCTAACCTTCTCAATCAGTGTACCAAGGCTTCTTTGAAATCTATTAACATGTTGAGAAACAGCCCAGGTGCCACAAAGCATTGGCACAAAGCATTTGGCTGGCTCTCTTAAGGTCTATAGGGTTTAGGATGTATGCCTGAAGCACCTGGCAGGCAGAATGGAGTTGCAGCCAAGATGGTTGTAGTTAGAGCAACATGGATCTTTCAAGCCTCTGTTTTGTGCCTTGGCTTTGACTCGTCTTCTAACTAATTATTTATTAAAAATAGACACTGAGTGGACTCTAGCTCCTTATGAAGTGAAATTTGGTCCTGAAACTAGCTATGTATCTTTCTACCATGCAACTGTGTAAATAAAATTATAATAATTCTTTTCCCTTCATCTTTTGCTTTTACTGTTTCTACTCTGCCTAGCAAGAGGCAGAACATGACCCACATTGAAAACTTTCTAGGACTTAGCAGCTAAATTAAAAGAGCAGACAAATTATGCTATAAATGGTAAGCAATATTTTGATGATCTTTCTAGAGACAACCATTTAGCTCTTTAGTCACATAGGATTCAAATTGACAGTACATAATGTTCTTCCTATCTGAGTCTATAGCTAACAGATGAAAATTAAATATTTAGTTCTGACTTTAGCCTCACAGACACATTTTTTTCTTTCTGATAGCTTAAGAAACAACAATAAATGCAAATAGCAGACTATACTACTTGTCACCAGCAAGCCAGCTAGTCTACTTTATCACAAATTGAAAGCAGACATCTACATCTTTAGAAAGTTCTTGAATTTTTTAAGCTTTTACGTTAGATTGTCTTTTCTAATTGCCAGTAGCAGAGCACCAGTAGTCATGCCAGTAATCCCAACTACTCAGGAAGCTGAGATATGAGGATTACAGTTTGAAGTCAGCCCAGGCAGTAAAGTCCATGAGATTCTTATCTCCAATTAGCTACCAAAAAAATGCCAGAAGTGGAGCTCTGGCTCAACTGGTAGAGTGTTAAACACAAGCAAAAACAGCTCAAGCCTTTAGACCAGCACCCAAAAAGAAACAAACAACAACTAAAAACAAACAAACAAACAAACAAACCCAAAACAAGAAGCATGATGCATGGCAGTTGTCTGTAGTACTAATTGTTTGGGAGGGTCATAGTTCAAGGTCAGCCCAGACAGAAAAGTTCTTGATACTCCTTCTCAACCCATCCTTTGGTGCAGTGGTATGGGCTCATTTTCTCAAGGTAATTTAGAGGCTGAGAATGGAAGAATCTCTGAGAGTATGTATCGAAAAAAAAATCTTAATACTGTGTCTGGTGACAATCCTATGTTATGACCTCATTTTGGTCTTGGAATAAAGTTTGTGAAAGAGGATATTATCTTTACATTGACTATGTTATTTCGTTTTACTTTACCAGGAAACTAAAACCCAGTGTGTACGAATTGCTACAAAAGGTAAGGGGTTTGTTTTTTGTTTGTTTCCTTTTTTGTAAGCTCTATTCATCTCCTTTCTAAAATGAAAGAGCTTTGTTGCTAGTGCCAAGCTAATTAAATGTGGCATTTCTATTACAGAGTATTTGTAGTGGGGCTCACTTAAAGCACCAGAGAACTTCTCAGACTCACTTGGCTGTCTTTACACATCATGGGTGCTACATCCCATCCTCTAGTACTTAACTGAAGGAATCTTGTTAGGAGAATAGAAAGGATTTAGAAAAACCGTAGAGGGCTTACTTCTGTCGTTGAGTACCTAAAAGGTTTGTGTTACCTATCAACGACTCTCTTAAGAAAACTCAGCAACAGCAGCTCAAAATAGCAAGTTGCTTATTTAAAAACCTCTATTTGCTTTCTGTAATAGATGATCAAACCTACAAGGACAAAGCTAATGATACATGAGGTGTGGGTTTGGAGGTTGTTCTATAATTTTATCAGTAGTTATAGTTGGGCTGTAAAGGGTCTTGGTTGGTTTGTGAAAAAAATTATTTCTGTAATGCCTAATAATCAAGTCAATTCTTTCCAACCCTGCTGATTATTACTTAGACTGGCTAGTTTTTTGGTAGAAAACAAATATGTAACATATATAAATATGTATATGTATATATATGTATACACACACACACACACACACACACACACACACACACACACACACACACACACACACACACACATATACACATTGGCATCTTTGAAAGAGTATTTGGAGTTCAATGTGGAGAAAAATCCCCTGTATTTAAGAGTCATTTAAGAGTCATTCGATTGTGCCAACAAAGCAGAGACAGTTACTTAGTATATTATAGCAAGAAAAAGAAGATAAAACTGTCTGCATGCATTTGTGAGACTCCTCAGGGTTGGTTTTCCGGAAGATTTGTTGTCAGAGTTAGTATTAGACCCACATTTTTAAGCATTAGTTGATTCATCTGGGGGGAAAATGAATAGCCATGTTCTGTTCATGTTGGCAAATTTCTATTAGTTATTTTACTCCATCCAGTCACCAATATGCTCAATTTGTTCTACTCTAGATTTGTAAAGGCAACAAAGGCCTTTTTCTTTGGCTCATGAGACTTATAAGGAATCTCTCAGAAGAAAAAATACATTTGTTCAATGCAAATATGAAGATTCTTTATAATAGGTTAAAATACACAACTCAGAGAAAACATCTGAAAAAGTATAGGCATTTATTTCAAAATTTCAGCCAATGATCAGGAGTTAAAGTTTGCATAAGTTAATAGCAAAAGACATTTAGATATGTATCACCTGTGCCTTACCAGATGTGAAATAGAGACATGTAAAATGAAATATGAAAGGTTTCACATCTGCTGGTAAGAAAGTTCTGAAGATTGGATAATGGTGTATTTCCATAGCAGAGGAAAGAAAACTATAAGTTATTCTGACATTTTAAATTTTCCTACTCATTTATTTGTTTTTGCATGAACTGTTTAAGTGACATTTTGTTTCTCTCTGAGGACAAATAAAAGCATAGTGACAAATAGTATATACTATTAGACATGGTTGAGCTCACAGAAATCGACCTTACTGTGTGGCATAGAATGTTTTCCAGTTGGTCAGAGTCCAATGGAGGCCATTCTTCTTTGTCTAGTGAAATATCCCAGCTGTATATCTGTACCCAAGTTAACAGAGTGATATCATGAGTAAGACAAGGACTTTAGCCTTGTACTACCTGGTTCAAATCTTGATCTTATGCCTCTTAGTAGTTGCTGAGCATAGGCAAAATTATAAAAGCTCTCATCCTCCAAATAAGGTTAATTAGAGTACTTCCTCTTATGATTATGAGATTTTAAGACTAGTATATACAGTTGTCCCTCATCTGAGATTTTGCTTTTCATGGTTTAAGTTACCTGTGGCCAACCATAGCTTAAGAATATGAAACTGAAAATTTTCAAAATGGAACAATTCATAAGTTTTCAATTGCATGCCATTCTGAATAGCTTAATGAAATTCCTTATCATCCGTCTCTGTCCCTCTCATGACCTGAATCTTTGCTGTCCAGTGCATCCATGCTGAATATGCTCCGTCCTGCCATTTCTTCCCTTAGCAGCAGCCTCACTTGTCACAGCCACTGTTAGAACTGTAGTGCTTGTATTCAAGTATGAGAGCATGGATGCCAATAATACTTTTGTAATATAATATATTGTTATAATTGTTCCATTTCAATATAATTGTTGTGAATGTTTTACTTGACTTATTTATAAGTTCAAACTTTATCATAAATATGCACATAGAGAGAAAAACTCTTTGGTTTCAACATTGACTATGGTTCTTTTTTTTAATTTTTTTTTTGTGAATATACTGTACAGAGGGGTTACAATTACATGGGCAAGATAATGAGTACATTTCTTATCAAGCATTGTAGCCTCCTCCTTTGTTTCCCCTTCACATCCCTTCCCAGCCTCCCCCCCCAACCAATCCTCCCCCCCCCCCCCCCACCAAAGTTGTAAAGTTCGTTTTCGACATGACAACTTGTACTTCTCATTGTTGCAAAGGGTCCACTTGTATCCTTGAATGACTTGTTTTTCCCCTTCTCCTCCACAAATTATACTGACATCAAATATAGTGAAAGCAGAGGTTATACTGTGGGGGAGGGACATACAAAGCAACAAAGAAATAATCTTATAAATGCGTTAGAAACAAATGCATGAAAGAAAAAAAAACATTTAAATACATATCTAAGAGTTCATTTTCCTAACATCACATTATCTGACCTTTTCTGCTTGACTCAGACATATACTAGATATTGCAAATAAGGGAAACCATGGGACCTATGTTTCTTTGGGCTTGGCTTACTTCACTTAATATAATTTTATCCAAGCCTTTCCATTTCCTAACAAATGGGGCAATGTCATTCTTTCTGATGGAGGTATAGAATTCCATTGTGCATATATACCACATTTTCTTAATCCATTCATCTACTGAGGGGCATCTGGGTTGTTTCCATATCTTAGCTATGGTAAGTAATGCTGCAATAAACAAAGTTGTGCTGGTAACTTTAGTGTGGTCTTGTTTGTAAACATTTGGGTAAATGCCCAAAAGTGAGATTGCTGTGTTATAGGGGAGCTCTATGTGAAGTCTTTTGAGGAACCTCCATACATACTGCTTTCCAAAGTGGTTGAACAAGTTTACACTCCCACCAACAATGAAGTAAGGTTCCCTTCTGTCCACATCCCCTCCAGCGTCTGTTGTAATTAGAGTTCTTGATTTTTGCCATTCTAACTGGGGTGAGGTGGTACCTCAACGTTGTTTGGATTTGCATTTCTTTAATGGCTAGGGAGGTTGACCATTTCTTCATGTGTCTATTGGCCATCCTTCTTTCTTCTTCAGAGAAGTTTCTCTTTAAGTCTTTAGCCCACTTATTTATTGGGCAGTTGTTTCTTTGAGGATTTGTTGTTGGGGGATTTAATTTTTTGAATTCCAAGTATATTTTAGATATGAGACCCTTGTCTGTTGTATGGCTAGTGAAGATCTTCTCCCACTCCGTGGGCTTTCTATTGATCTTGCTAGCTATGTCCTTTGCCATGCAGAAGCTCTGCAGCTTCATGCAATCCCATTTGTCCAACCTTTCTTTGATTTGTTGTGTTTCCGGGTCTCTATTAAGAAAATTTCCGCCTGTGCCAAGGAGACCTAGGGTTTCTCCTATTCCATCCTGTAATGTTTTCAGATTGTCTGCTTTGACTCTGAGGTCTTTGATACATTTGGAGTTGATTGTGGTTCAGGGTGATATATAAGGATCTAGCTTTAGTTTTCTACAAGTAGTTAACCAATTTTGCCAGCACCATTTACTGAAGAGGCTGTCTTTCTTCCATTCTATTTTTTTAGCTCCCTTATTGAAGATTAGATGGCTATAGGTCTGTAGGTTCATTTCTGGGTTTTCAATTCTATTCCATTGGTCCTGAGGTCTGTTCTTATGTCAGTACCAAGCTGTTTTGATTACTATAGCTTTATAGTAGAGTTTGAAATTTGGTATTGATATTCCTCCAGCAGTGTTCTTTCCATTGAGGATGACTATGGTTCTTGTACATACTTCCCACTCATTGCAGGTGGGGGGGGGGGTTTACTATACTAATGTACTGTGTCTAGCATACTGTAAATGTATGTAATATTAGTTGTTGACATATTGTAAATATAATAATGTATCATACTGTAGAAAGACATAATTTATTTTATATAGGTGTGAAAGAAATATGTATGAATACCAAAGCAAGCTCACATAGTAGATAGAAATCCAGTTTCTTATATTGTCAGAGTTTTGCCTCGATCTTATGTATATCCTATTCTGAATATTTAACATTTTTCTACTTATGGAAAGACATACTTATTAAAACATCTTTTTTTTTACAGCACTTAGATTTTAAACCCAGAGTTTTATACTTCCTAGGAAGGCACTTCACTATTTGAGCCTTAACTCCAGCTTGTTCTGTTTGGATTATTTTTGATAGGGGTTTTTTTTTGTTTGTTTGTTTGCTAGTCTAGTCAGCAGTCCTCCTATTTACATTTTTCGTTATAGCTGGAATGACAGGCTTATACCATTCCCAAGGATTTTGTTGATTGGAGCCCTGCAAACTCCATTTGCCTGAGCTAGCCTGGAAGTACCATCCTCCAGATCTCAACATCATACAAGATTTTGCTTTGGTCTGGAAATTTCAATATAAAAGTAAAAAATTGTTTTAGTATGACATCTTCAAGGCACATTTAATCATTAGAATGGCAGAACCATATTGACTGAGAAAAAACTTTAAGAAAACTTTTAACAGAATGGGCTAAATAGTTAACAAGGGTGCACATTGTTGAAAATTATTAAAACATGTACTTCAAATGTGGATATACATAGAGACACCCAAGTAAGTAGTTATTTCCTCAATCTGTAACATAAATGAAGAAGTCATTAAAACTGAATGACCAAAATAGAAATAATGTTAAGTGTACACAGGAAGTTCTGGGTT